GGGTTACTTAGCTGTTTAGGAGTTTGTATCTTTCTTTTCGCTATCGCTCGCCTTGTAGTGAAGGCCGGCTCGTTCGCTCACCCTCTCCCGCCCAACTTGCAATAGTCTCATAAAGAATTCTAGTAAAAGTTAGAACGATCGATCTGTTGAGTATTATAGGCTCCACAGCTGCAGTAGTAGTGCAAGGACCTTATTTATGATAGTTGGGCTCTGCGGTTGTAGCGGCAATGTAAGGACCCACCTAAGATGTTGGGGCTCTGCGGCTGTATTGACAGTGCAAAGATCCCTTTGCCTCATTCGAGTAATACAATCGTTTCAGGCCGATTCTCCTTGTGGGTCGTTTTCTTGTGTGAAATATACTGGACCATTTAGGAAGAACACAGGATTGTATTCGGGAGATTGATTAGTTGGGTATAAGTAGGACCAATTGATGTGTTTTAAGTTCTAAGCGTAGAATTCCTGAAGATAGGTAGAGCTTTAGGGATAGCGAACGGAATTCCCATATGTTCTTCAATTTGTTTAATAAAGTCATCTGACCGAGCCATAATAATCGGATTTTGTTTCAGTTATACATATATAGAAAATTTAACATGTGAAACGTGTTGATCTTTTATAGGCTAGAGCCTCAACGATTATGCCTTAAAATTTGGGATTTGAATCTTTAAATATTGTGAAATCATTTCATTTTGTCTTTATGATGAATTAAATAAAAAATTCTATGCAATCTTTTATAAGCTTAAAATATAAAAATAGTATATAGAGCGTTAATGTTTTTTTTTTATATATTCTCGCATCACAGGGAAATAAACTTTTATATGATAAATTATAGTTTTAGATAACAATTTTAGTTAGTTATTTATTTTTTTAACATTTTTTTTTTCATAACGATTCGTTTTTTCTTTATTTTTATAACAGCTTATTTTATTTTATTTTTATTTATATATGCTTTATTGGCGAATTTTATCGAAACTTCAAGACACTGACAATTGCAGACAACTCATTTCAACGACAAAGTAATCCTGGTCATTGTCGTTAGGTCTGGTTTAGAATTAGAGTTAAAGCTAGTGCAATATTTAATAAAAGTTTGTCGGTTAAATAAATTGTCAGTGAAATAATTGTCGGTGAACTATTTATCGTTAAAGTG